TCAGAGAGGAAGGGAGAGAGAGAGATAGAAGCATCAATGATGAGAGAGAATCATTGATCGGCTGCCTCCTGCACACCCCCGACTGGGGATCGAGCCTGCAACCCGGGCTTGTGCTCTGACCTGAATCAAACGGTGACCTCCTGGGTCATAGGTCGACACTCAGCCACGGAGCCACACCGGCTTAGGCTGTAGCGGGTTTGTTTTAAGAGCTGCATGCTATTCCGCTGTGTGACTATGGAAAAGTGTATCCAGTTGCCAGATATTCACATGGTCTCCTACTGCAGGATACATTGTCTTGAACTGGGTCTGAGCAGGCGAGGCTGACGGAGCCCTGAGCGGGCAGAGCTGGGGCCCTTCCCTGGTGGGGCGCTCCCTTCTTTCCTCCCGACTTTAGTCTCCAGACCTCAGCTGTCCTTCCTCAAGCCTCCTTCCCTAGAAACACCCCCCCAGCCCCTCTCCAGTCTTCATTGTCCCGCATCCCCCAGGGAGGCAGTCGCCATGGTAACCCCTTGCCTGAGCCCCCATGGCTGAGGGCAATCGATACCACCCCCCCACCAACACACACAAACACTTTTCACACGCTGATTTCTCTGTCTTTCATCCTCCAAACAGGCTTATTCTGTGCACGTCACCCTCACCCCCAAAATGGCTCCATCGTCCCCCAGAACTGGCTCCAACATCCCCCCAACTCCACCACCCCCTCAAAATGGGGGGCTCCCGTGACCCTCCAGTTGAAGTCAGCGCCACCCAAGCTAGATTGGACATTCTCCCACTGGCTTCCATGTCCACCCCGAACCGGATCCTGTACCCCCAAACCCACATCCTCAGACCTGGCTGCAACATTTTCCCAAAACTCGCCCGACGTCTTTCCCTTTCCTGGCTCCAATACCCCCTCTGCCAGCTGGCTCCCACATCCTGCCATGCAGCCCCTGTCTGCCTCCCGGTGCCAGGCCCCTGACTCACTTCCGAGGCATCCCCAAGCCCCCAGCCCCCGGCTCCCGCAGGATGTCTTGGCCACCAGAGCTTCCCTCTCTGGGCTCCTCCTCCTCTTCCTCACTGCCAGCCTTTCCCCAAGGACCCAAACCCTCCACCGGCCGCCTGGCCTGTTTGCAGAAGTCCTCGCCTCCTGCCCGCAGGGCCCGCTCCGGAGAAATGCCCTTACAGATGGTGCGTCCAAGCCCGGCCCCAACCAACACGGCCCCAGGGCAGCCTTGCCCCCAAACAACCCCTACCAGCCCAGCCTGTATCAAGCTCATCCCCATCTTCACACCCAACCCTCCCATCACCTCTCCTGCTCTATCTCCATTCCAACCCTGTCCCCTCTCCCATCTCCAAGACCCCGTCCCTTAGGGATAGAGCGAGACACCCATCCCTCCCTGGCCTCGGCCTCCGCCTTCCCACCTGAACCCGGGACGCCAGACCCCACCACGTCTCACCTCTTCTCTCTCCGTTCCAAGCTCTCCACTGCCTTGCAGACTCTGCACCCCAGGACCCCCCGTGCCCTCCTCCTGCTCCCATCTCCCTGTGGAGACCAGCCCCCAGACTCTCCCTCTGCCCAGCTTCTCCTGGCTTCGGGACACATGTTTTCTCCAACCCTGGTCTAGCCCATCTCTGGGCGAGCCACATTCCTGGAGGGCCGCGAGTCCCACCCCCGCCCCAGCACCCCAGCACCCCTGCACCCCGGCACGCTCACCTCTGTCCTCACCTCTGTCCTCGGAGCCTTGTCCTTCTGTCCCTGCTGTTGTCCTGTCCTGTCCTGAGGCTACTTCAGCCTGGACTGCTAAGAGCTTGGACCTGAGGAGGGGGGTGAGAGGAGGTCAATTTCCTGTCAGGAAACCCCTCCCTCCCTGGGGCCAGGGGTGGGAAGGACTCGTTATCTGTCTGCCCTTTTAGGCCAGGCTGCGGTTTGGCCCCCACCCTCCCCCCCGGCCAGGCCGGCCGGAATCGGACC